TTCAGCGACGCAACCCCCTCTGGAGCTTCAGCGACGCTTCCAGCCGACGCAACCTCCTCTAAAGCTTCAGCAACGCTTCCGGCGACGCAACCCCCTCTGGAGCTTCAGCGACGCTTCCGGGTGACGCAACCCCCTCTGGAGTTTCAGCGACGCTTCCAGGCGACGCAACCCCCTCTAGAGCTTCAGCGACGCTTCCAGCCGACGCAACCTCCTCTAGAGCTTCAGCGACGCTTCCAGGCGACGCAACCCCCTCTGGAGCTTCAGCGACGCTTCCGGCGACGCAACCCCCTCTGGAGCTTCAGCGACACTTCCAGCCGACGCAACCTCCTCTAGAGCTTCAGCGACGCTTCCGGGCGACGCAACCCCCTTTGGAGTTTCAGCGACGCTGCTTCCGGTACTTTCCTTCAATTCTCTAACAGTCTTTGTGAAGCTAACTCGTTTATGTTTGCTCATAACGAAGTTCTCACAAGAACTCATAATAATCTCCTCATCAAATACACCTTGTTCATAGCAGACGGTTTTTCGTACATATTCGACAGCGTCTTCAACAGACCTGACGTTGTCTTCTCCTTGATAATGTTAAACGCCACGTTTCTGGATACCGTCAACCGGATCATCCCTAAGGCTTGTCGATCCTTGAGCTTCCACTTTTCCGTGGTCATGGTATCCGGCTTCACCCCCAACATAGGTTCGTGAAGATCTTTCTGGTACAGATAATCTTCAATCTGCATCTTCCAGAAATTGAAATCGGATCCATCGAACTTCTCAATTCCAATCTTTGAACTTTCCATCTTCACAGATCGTGGTGAATTTTGCCTGCTCTGACACCGCCTGGCTCTGACTTCCGCCTGGCTCTGATACCGCCTGGCTCTGATACCAGTTGTTAGGATCGATATCAGTCGTTAGCTCTGATACCAGTTGTTAGGATCGCACAACAACGCACACGCTCGATCTAGATGAACCCAAAGAAAAGGATAGAGAAAAGTTGCAAGGAGAACTCTGGCTAAAAGGATTTTTTTGTGTTGATGATTTCAGGTATGTACAACAAGAGAGAGTACAGAGAATAGAAAAGTACATCTTCAAAGCTCTACCGGACCCAGATATATATATATGGTATAGTTTACTATATATAGCTTTACCAGATTTAGCCATCTACTATATATAACTATTTACCATATATAACCGTTGACCAAGCTATAAATAAGTATCAGGCTCCATAGCCTAACAAGAATGACAGACAATTCTACGTGTGATAGAAAAGGAGATCATCCTCGGATTCGAACCTATGGCCCTCTGTACCCAAAACAGATGCGCTGACCAGACTGCGCTACACCTCGTCTCACCCCCCCCCGAAGCATATGGATCTACCCAATCGATGAACACTCAAACCAAACTCGCCCATTTTGGCACAGGTACGCGAGACCCAATCCGAGTAATCTACAGCTTTGTTTATCAAATCTACTTGTTTTGCCTCTTTCATTTGAATTTCTAAATCAGGTCCCGGCTACGTGTCCTTTGGAACCTTTGCTTAGAAGTGGATTCGAACCACTGACACAAGGATTTTCAGTCCTTTGCTCTAACCAGCTGAGCTACCTGAACCCCTTTCCTAAAGTCTGTTTTCTTCAAAGAATACGCCCTACCTTACCACTTGACTAGTAAAAGCCCTTTACTCAAAGAAAGAGTAGTTAGGGCTTGATTTGCTTCTTCGTCAAGCTTTCGAGTCTTGAAACTGCCGCCTAATCTCCCAACACAAAAACCTAGAGACGCCCAGAGACTGGACAACCGGAGGGAGCTTGCTTCCCGAAAGAGGATAGGCCGGTCAAACAAAAACAAGGTGCAACGGGCTCTCCCTACGCTCCTAGTCACTAAGTTATGCTATTCCGTCCTTGGCTCCACCAAGACTTTCTCTCAGCACGTAATTTCGCCCGCTACCGGTCCTAGATCCAAATTCATACCCTAGTGGTTTACCCGGCATGACAGACAGTTGGAGCTTTGATTGTAAACCCACCCTGCCTGTCTTTACCTACCCACCGCCCTTGTCTTAACACGATGCTCCTACTTCCTCTCAATTCAAGGAAGATTCCCAATACATCTACGATCAATTCAATTAAGCGAATCTTCTGACTAACTTCTCTTTCTTAGTAGACAGGGTAGAGAATGAATGTGCTTGGGAGTCCCTTACAACATTAGGAAAACAATTCAATCCCAGGGTAGAAGAGAACAAGAAAAGCTCGTACCAACAAGGAACAAACAATCCTTTTTGGGGTAGGACTCAGGCACGCAGCTCTTTATAGATTCGGAGCACGAACTTGTTCTGGTTTCCATTAATTCAATTAACATCGGTACAGGAGGCAGTCTCCCGCACGCTCGGGACAAGATTGGTAAGCATACATACCTAGCTCAGCCATTAGAGTTAGAGTCCATTCACGGTTAACTTACCACCAACGAAGAATTTCTCGTCCCTAGGATATGTAGATTCATTAGTGACCTTAGCTTGGTTCAACAAGTCAGGTGTAGATTTGATAGTGAGAAAGGCAAGGGCTGCGAGAATGACCGCGGAGAACAAGGCTTGAGAGACAGACCTACTATTCCAACCCAGTGAAGGCGACGTCTCACTACTACCAGTACGAATTGCGTTGATGCCACCCCTACACTACCAACCAAATAAGGCAAGGTCTCATGGTGGCAAAGAAAAAGAGGAAGCGCTCTTGTTGCGCGAACCCCATAATCAAGAAAGATGGAACGAACACAAGAAGCTCAGTAGCAAGCCGTCTCATAGTCACCACTTGTCTGTCGTTTCAAGATTTCAAAACAAGCAGAAAAACAATATACCCTTGTTCAATGCCCGGTTCAACAGCAGCTCGAAGATTTCAAAACAAGAGGTACGAGAGGAGGGAGATCTACTGATAAGGCGGCCCCTTGGTGACATTTCTTTTCTGTACCAAAACCATATGTCTTGGGACCACAAGGCGAAGACAAAAGGAGGGCATTTCTCAGCAGAAGAGCGCTATACGTTCAACATTTATCAGCGACAGCGGAAAGAAGACCAATAAGATAAGGTGGGAAAGGCTCAGTCCCTCAAAGTGTACGGGAAGGGTCGGCGTTAACAGAAAAAGGCAAAGCCGAGAAAGAAGCGTGTCTGGTACGGATTTCGGTAGTGATCTACTTGATCTGGTAAGCTTAGGTTAGTGGAGTTGTAAGTTAATCTCGACAGGTTGAAAAGCTTCAAGCTTACAAAACAAGACCTAAGGAGTTTGGAGCCTTTGAGTTCTCCGCCGGTAATGGGAAGACTTCCCCATTGGAATGGTATCCGCTCGAGGAGCCTGTCCATGCCTACTTATCCAGACCAAACAGCAACCTTTGGGCCTTCGGGCTGAGGCTCAATGCGGGAATCAAGGGTATGGGTTCAAGGCAGCTCTACTTACTGGGAATGGGATCCGGCACATGACGAATGGGACCCCCTGGCATATGAGATCCGGCACATTAACGTTACACCATATTAAAAAATCAATGGCTAATTTGCTGCTTGGCCCATCCCTTTCATAATCGCAGCGCAGAGCAACAAGCCACAAGAGAGGCATTGCTCGCTTCCCGCTTGCAAACAGAAACTACATCTTCAGCCCTTATCCCGAATAGAGGAGCAGCGCTTCCTGATTCAATTGCTTGATTCACTAGGCTAAACCTTCCACAACAGCCAGCACTGGATTTGCACAAAGAGAAAGAAAGACAAGACCGTCTAGCAAAGCCCTTATTGTCCAATCCAAACCTACCCTCCTGCCTATTTTGTAACAAGAGCATTCGATGCTTCCTGTACTGCTCGAAGGGTCAGCCCCGGGGCGGAACTCCCCTCACCCTCTACATTTTGCTGAGCTGCATGTGGTGCAGCCAGGTTAGGTAGGGAAGATCATGCCTCATATATCTGGGTTGCCATAATAATTATTAATCCACGACCCACTCCACGAGAACTCACTGGATAGGTCGGATGGTGATGGCAGAGGAAGCCCCGGCCCCGTCCACACACTCAAGACTAGCGGGAATAAGGGGAGGGGGGAAAAACCATCATACCTAAGAGAGAGAGAATACACCTAGATGCGAATCCAAGAAACGAATAAAGAAATGCTAAATCACAACAAGATATACAGAAGAAGTACAAGTTGAAGGCCTTACTTCTCTTTCAAATGAAAAGAATAACGATGAAAGAGAAAGATGCAGCTGAGAATCATTATTCCAAACATCATTCTCTTTGCGCGTCTTTGGCCTTGTTACGAAATGGGCGAGGGCTGGTCCTGCCTAAGGTATACATTGGATAGTGGCTTACAGAACGACCGGATGGATAAAAGGAGGAGATAAAGGATCTGACTGAATCATGGCCACATTAGAAAGCATGTAATGTGGGTTAAGAGGTAGCCAGGCTAGAAGAATAGAAAGAATTTGACCTTTGAAAAACAAACTCTTATAAAGAAAGTAGGAGCTATTGCGGCCCCAGTGAAAGAAGGTGAAGGAGTCAAGTTCGAAAACCGTAAACTCTCATTAATCCTTTGTTTACTGTTCGGGAAAGCAAGGGAGAGGTGAAGGAGACTGAAAGAAAGAAAGAAACAAAGAAATACCTATTTACAGAGGGAAAGAATAATAGTTCAGGAGAAAGAAGAAATAGGTGAAGGAGAATGAATAAGAAGGAAGGAAGGAGGGGGAGTAAAAGAGTGAAAGCAAGAAAGGAGAAGAGAAAGAATGAATAGGTGACGGTTTGAGGTTGAAGAGAGAGTTGAGGAGAAGAGAAAGATCAGCGAATGAACAGGAAGGAAATCAGGGAGACGAAAGCAAGATTAATGATCCTTAACAGTGTTTGAAGGGAGAGGAAAGCCGAAAGATGAATGGAATGAGAGTTTACAGTCTTTGAATAAATGAAGACGCTACTGAACCGATATGACCTTCTTTCACTCTAAAGCTATTATATATGATCCAGAACAAGAGAGTCAATGAATGAGCTACTGAACCGTAACCTTCTCTTCTCTTTCTCCTTATTAATCAAGTGTTGAAAGGAAAGCCTCTACTCCTACTTCTGGAACTCTGTCGGACCAAGAATTAATTTCTTCTATCCTATATAGGGGTAAAACATTAAAAGAGCTTTTTCCCTAACAGCTGAAGCTTCAAGAAAAGAAATTCTATCTACATATAACTGTCAAAGTTCGTAAGACCTTTTTCCCTTAATAGCTGCATAGGAAATCAAAGAAATTCTATCTATCCCGTATTTTAGGGTATAAAATCTAGTAAAGGTAATTCACTATTAAGGAAAGACGAAACGAAACATTCGTTATCCTTCACAGTCAGGAAAGAGGTAAACTCCGGAACTACTTCACGAACCGAACCTTCGAAAACTCAGTCTTTCACAAGGTACGCTAATGAATTGACTCTCACTCTCCCGGAACTGTAAACAAAGACTCCTTATTAATTCGACAGATTGAACTGTACTTTCTCCTTCACCGATATTACCTTCAGTTATTAGTTATGAGAAAGAAGTGATTGTTCACCTTTCCCTGACGTACTCTCCTGTAAGAAAATCAGACTCAACCTTTTCCTCGTCTTCGACCCTTCACCTCTACAACTCGGTTTCCCAATTTCATTTCCTGCCCCTGATTTTTTATTCTTTCGCGCGGGTTTAGGAGACATGGGACTTAGGGAAACTCTGACTCTGGCTTCAGGCTAGGGCCCGGCCGTGATGGAAGCATCTCGTATGTAGAATGTACACGGTTGGTAATAAGAGGATGAGGTCTTCGCCTTTTGATTGAGTTTCCGAACTCAGTGCTTGCTTCTGCTTGTTGAGGAGCCTCACTTCATTCATGCATGGGCCTTCCACAAACGAAAGCGAACCAATTCCTTTCCTTTAACGGCCGCTACTAACGGATGTCAATAGCTCGACCATTGATTGGGGATAGAAAAGTGAAATTAATTCATTATCTTTTATCTGACTGATCATGTAAACGGAGACCCTTCTACTTCTAAAGTTCCAACGATCTTATCCTAGTGTTCTGATCAATGCCATCTAGGCTTCAATCCAGTGATAGCTGGGTTCATCTTACCTGTAGCGTATCGGTTGATCTTATAGACACGAGACTGAACGTAGGGTTGGTTGACCCAGTCGAAGAGGTTCTTTCTTTTTTCCCCTTGAGCCGATCTTATTCAAAGGATTGTGACTTTCTCAGCTTGAGCTTTCTATCAAATTTCCATTTCTGGACTAGTGGACTCATTGTAACTCTTTTATCTAAGCTTGAGCCCGAAGCGAGTTTAATTCGTCCTTCATTTCATACCTCAGTGCGGTGCCCTATGGGTTCCATGACCTTTCCTCGATTCAATCCTGTTTTCGTCTTGAATAGTAATAGTAAAGGGGCTCCAGTAGCGAATGAAATGAATAACTTCGATTCAGCAAAGGCTACTTCGGAATGATTTAAAGAAGGATCTCCGCTCCCTTGCTTTCGTAGACTGATCGAGTAAGGTTGAGCTTCGTTGCTAGTAGTAGTCTCAAAGTCAAAAAGGTATTCAATATCGAATAAATGATCATTCTAAGGGGAAAAGGGGCTAGGCCGAGAGCAAGAAAGACGAGACAGAGACTTTATATGGACGTAATTAGAAAAAATGGTCTGGTACTGGTACTAGAGCTAGGCTTCAAAGCTATAACAATGTAGGTTGGGAATGACTATTTCTTACTCACCTTGGAGGTAACCGAAGGCAAAGGTCAGCTATTATCTTTCTTTTCGACTGATTGAGCTCATCAAGAGACTCAGACTGATCCAAGAGTGTATCTGTTCCGGAGAAATAGGCTTTCTTTGGTTCATTCAGATCAATGGACGAAGTTGCCTCTTTTAGGCCAGTGAGCCAAATCTATCTGTCTGTCTTACATGCCATCTGAAACTGATTTTCTGACTAGATTTAATCTACCCCTCACCTCAAATCAACCATTAGTGGAAAAGCTTCAAAGTCCAGTGTGCCTGTGCCCGTCGCCCATCTGATGCTTGGCCCCAGTCGGATAGAATCGATTCCTAACATCGGTTGTAGTCGTTACAGCGCTTACTAGTTAAGAAAACCATTCTTAGTCGTTAGCGCTCTTTAACAGTCAAAAGAAGACAGAGACCAGTTTAGTTTAATAATTAGGTTCCATGTCAGCTGAAGAGTAGACAATGCTATCCATAGAATAGCCTCAGAGAAGATCGAAAAGAGAAGCTAGCCCCATTGCTGATGGTTGGCTCGGATTGCAATGAGTAAGAACCCCCGTAGCCAAGGTTCTGAATTTGCTTGTCTCCCTCCGTCCTTTCTATCGATTAGAACTCAACGTGAGAAGCTAATAAAGTAATTAATTAGTCGGGTACAAAAGGAATGTTCAAAGGTATTCTAAGACGTTCTCTAAGCGCCCTGGAATTCCTTTCTAATAGAGCAGCTCGAGGACGTTTAAACATTTAGTTGAGAAGAAAGCCTTGACGAGGTGCAATCCTTGTTACCGGTAAAGTAAACAAAAGGGGAGGAGGATAGGAAGATCACAAGACTTTCTTTCTCAAAGAGCCCCGTAATCCCCCTGAAAAAGCCCCAGGATGGAATGGAACCCAATAGTGGCTGTCAAAGTCCATGTCTGCAGGAAGGCAAATCATACATACATACATACATATTCTTTCTTCTTTCTTAGTTTCTTCCGAGCGGGTTGAAGCCACTAGCTAAGGCCCACCTATGTTCACTCCTGGGAACAGGAAAAGAAGCTTCGACCTCTATGGCAAGAAGAAATGGGACCGAAACCCTGTTATGTCAAGGGTGATACGACTTCCATTTGATATTGGATACCAACCAGATCGACTCGCTTTTCACCTTAGATCAGGGCTAGATTCTGGCTTTTTGTTAATTCTTTGAGACTTTTCTTTTATCGCTTCAACTCAATCAATGAAATGGCAGAAGCTTTCTTCGTCGTGCTTAGGTTTTGAGAAGCTTATTTCATTCATATCCCCTTCCCAATCAAAAGGAGAGGTTTGGCACACTTGAATTGGGACTTCGATTGGAGACCAACTGCCGGGTACTGGTTTCGCCTTGGTTTGGTACATTCTTATCATGTTAGTTGGGTTGAGCCTTTCGTTGAGCAGTTGATCAACCAGCCCTGTTCAATATTTGCAATGCGATTCAAAAGCTGTTAGAATTATACGATGATTAAGCTTATATATTCGATTTGCTTCGCTCACTGAGCTTACACTTGCAACTATTATTCCTTAGCACTAAGCGTCTTCAATCCTCCCCCTCCCTATCGGGAGAGCTACTATACTACATAGCCTCCCCTTTTAGTTGAGCTACTACGTACCTCTGACTGACTTCATACCTTAATAGTTGATCTGCTCCCTTGTTCTCTCTAACAACACGCAATAAAACTCTCTCTACTTCATCCGAATGCTGCTAACTCCTCTTTCTTCTTTCTAGTAGGTTCCTTTTTTCTTTTTTCTAAGGTGCTTTATCTTCTTTTTGTTGGATTTCCTCTTCCTTACAGAAAAGCCTATATTTCCAAACAAAGGCTGAAGCAGTTTGCCAGTCACAAGAAAGAGAGACTTTTGGGTAAATGCGGAGGAATAAAGAACCTTATTAGGCTTATAGCAGGAACTCGAATAAGACCGGACTATTTCGACGAAAAGGCCTGACAAGGGAAGTTCATACTCTCACTCAAGCCAAAGATAGATTTTGTCTCGTCCCTTACTTAGTCCTGTCAGTAAACATTTCTTTTTTCGGGCCCGACCTTTAGTTGAGTGCCATCAGTCAGTGGGAGAGACTTCCTTCACCCTTCGTTCAGTCACTAACTCAGTGAAGCGCGCCCTCAGTTTATCTCCCTTCTATCTCCCATAAGCGATCTATCTCTTCTCCTTTAAAGCGAGAAGTACTAAACGGACCTTAAACTAGAGCCAGGAGACAGATCCGAATACTGACTCGAGGAAGAGCTTACGGGGAAGGGGATCATAAAGACTAAAGCGGGAGTGCAGTTACCATAGCTAGTTTCGTGAGGAAACTCTTTTTCGCAGGTTCAGTCTTTCAAGCAAGCTTTCGGCTCAAGGCCTCACTCCTCGGTAGGTCGTAGAGAAAAGGGTTAGTTGCGGGGGTCGAGGGCTACTTTTAAGAGAAAGATTTTCATGTCATATACACCTTTAAGCTCTTGCTCTATCAATTCCTTCCTTTAATCTGCCTTGACCCTATATATATAGAGGATAGCACCGAAGCAAAGTGAAACCTGAACTACGTGAGAGCTCAAAGCTAGTCGAATCCTGACTTTTTCTTATCCTGCTCCTTAGCCATAGCCACTAGGATCAGAAGTCCGGGCTACTTACTTTAGATCACTTTCTCATCTGCATCTCTTTTCTTTCACATTTCCCAAAACTCATTCGATTGCTCGTAACGGACGGGATGGATAAAGATGGGGGTAGGGACTATTGATCTAAGGTAGCTTGCGGTCTAACTCAATTAAAGATATGAGCCGGTTATAGTAGGTAGGCTTTCTATCCGACAGGGTTTGTTTAGCTTTCTTCTTTACTAACTAAGAGAAGATGACTTTCTTTCTTTCCTACTGACTGAACTGCTTGAATTAGTTGAAGGAAGGGGGGCTTCTAGGCAGAGGAGAGGGATTGAACCCCGGGGCTGGTAGCCGTAGATCTGCAGGGTGATGGCAGTCTACGGTGTCGGTCTCGTCTACCTTGGTTACTCGTCACAGGGAAGACGATGTTGAGGAAATCGACTGAATGTCCGTGACGTATGAATTAAGCAATTCAGTCAACATGTGAATGAAAGAAATAAGGCCAGGAGCTAGTTTAGTGCTTTGCTGCCTTACGCTCCCCTTTCGAAAAAGAGTGGATTATCACATTTTCTTACGGTAAGAAAGGAAAAAGCCAGAGCAGGATCAAGATCTGGTGTCGAAGAATCCCGTAGCGGAACTCTCTTTCTTTTTTGAGTAGTTTCAGCTTGGAAGAGATAAAGAAGTGACTATTCTTATCTTTCCTGCGCCCTCTCAGGGCTCACATCACTCTCCTAAGGTTCAATAAGAAGGATTTACACCTTCTCTTTTATCGACTTACGCAAGCACTACTACTAAGCTTCAATCCTCTCCACCCTGTCGAGTGCCTAAATCCCTTAACGCTTCTTCTACTACAACTGATTGGTAAGAGGTGCCGCCCTCCCTCCTACCAGGACCAGGCATTTCAACCACCAATACAAATCATCCTGCATATAATACCATCAGAGTTCGTTCCCTTCATCTAGCAGCCCCCACGTATCAGTCCGGTATTCTAGGGTGGATCACCTTGATTTAGATTATGATCCTCCTTAATCTGAATATGGATTATACCATCATAACTGACCAAAACAAGACCACCCCTGACTAGAAGTGATTGCCAGGTCCAATCGAAATTCTTTTACCAGACAAATGCAAACGATCAAAGACCATTATAAGAGAATCCTCAAATCAAAATCTGAAATCGTCCCTCTCCCTTCGGTCTCGTTTCTTCGTCCCTCGATGTTGTGACTATTATTTATTCAAGATACCTAGTATACGAAAAGTCAGGAAATATCAGATTAAATTGACTATCCAATTCTATTAAGTCAAGTAGAATAATACTCCAAAATCGGGGGAATACAATCAGAGATAAAAGATCTGTACCATCATATTGTATTGGTATATGTATTATGTATATAGGTCTGAACTGATTAATATCATTATATCTACATTCTGTATTAAAGGTTGGAGCCTACTCACTACTCAAAAAACATGATTTTGGTATCACAAAAAGGGAAGGGTTCATATCCATCTTATATAATCTAGAGATAGGTTCATTCTCGAAGAACGAATATGAGCATAATAAGAAGTATGGATAGGTTTTATAGCCATAGATTTCTATTTTTCTTTCTAGTTCATCAAAGCTGGATAGATGCAATGAAAAAGGGGCAGGTTAAGTGCCTATGCCATCTAAACGGGATAAAGAACTAGGTGGTCATGCTGTTGTTGGTTATGGATGATTCTACGAAATTGTTCAAATTCCGTAATTCATGGGGAGATGCTGTAGGAGCCAAAGGGTATCAATATCTGCCTTATGACTATATCACGAATAAATAGAATAAAGAACTAGCCTTTGATTTTGTCGTTCGGTCAGGATGATACCGCAAAGAAAGACTTATAGATATGAGAAATTTGAGGCTTTGCGTCTCCTTTGCCTATTCCCTATAAAAGTATAAAGATAGTGGTGGCGACGTGGCGTATGGACAATCGGCTATGGCCATACTGGCTCTGATGTGCATGAGGGGATGGAAATTACACTACAAGCAGCATCAAATCTACTTACA